GAGAAAAAGAAGAAAGAAGCTTGCATTCTTTACCTACTTTATGGTCATTAGCTATAAATAAATAGAAGAGCCTTTCTTATTTGAAAAAGAAATAAATAGAAGAGCCTTTGAAGACGCTTGTTTTTCGTTTGATAGAGTTGAGAATGTTTGGTTCCATACCCTTCATCTTTGTCGAAGGGCCATAAGCTCAATTAGCTGAAAGATTTGGGGGCTTAGTTTACATTTTGACTCGCTCATAATTTATGGACATATTTGCATTTTTCATAATTTATAAACTTTTGTGCATTTTTTATATTTGTCCAGCACCCCATGGTGCTCTTTTCCATAAAAAGATAAACATTGCAGATCACCTACAACTGATTGCTTTGATACTAAACTGGTGCAGTCCCTACTTGATACTAAACTGGTGTGGTCCCTACTTTGATACCAAACTGGTATGTTCCTTAGCAGTTGATCTAGTTATAGGTTCTTGAACGATAAAATAGGGGTGACAACTTGATCCTATCTCTTCGAGTTCCTATTGTGGATTCCCCAGCAGTGCCAAATAACAATTTGTTTTGAAATAAAACTTGTAAGGTATGATTCATTCACATGCATCAGGAGGGTGCAAACTCATAGATAAATAATATTTACATGTCGACCAAAATGTTAATAAGGTTACCAAAGTTCTCAAGTGAATAAAGAGGATGACCCATAACCAAAAAGTTAGGGCTGGACCATCTATCTTTCACCTTATCGTAATCATCTTTTACTCCCTTGAAAGTTTTCTTGTTTCTCTCTTTTCACACTGCACAAAAAGTAGCAAGGAGAACGAGACTAATATGCTTCTTCACACCACTAATGCCTTTCCACGTCCAAATTTCTTCCATCGCTGAATCAGCCATCACTTAATTGATATGAATCCATAAGTCAGGGTCCATTATCAATTTGACCTGGATTTAAGCAGAGTGGAGAGAATTCTCTGCCCCATCGCGAGCTTTGGTCCTTATTAGTAAATATATTATTAATTTAAATACCATATAATAATATGTACCTAATAAAACTATGACAGTGGACACATGCACTCGCGTATGGGCGAGACTCTTACTGACTTTGTGACTGTACCCTTTCTGCAGAATCTGATTGAGTTACATTTTTGTGATTGTGGCTGATTTGTAATATCTTTATTCTTGGAGTGACTTATTTAAGTGTAACTAAAGTATGACACATCTTATGAATTTTCTTTCCTAATTTTATGAAGGGAAATTCTGTTAGATGTTGATCAATAAAAGATTTTGTTTTTTTTTAAAGGTTAACATTCTTGTGGATAATTAATCATAAGCCACATTCAATTCATTTGTCTCTGTCAATAATTAATTTAAGAGCCTAATGTGACAAATTTTGGTTGTCTAATTGTGACTAGATGCGTTGTTTCTGTCTGACAATTCTTGTTTTCTTGGCCTTTTAAGACTTTCATCAGTCATGACCTACTTTTCTATTTCAAAACAAGGGTTACTGTCACTGTTTTACCATGCTGAGTTACAGCAGCAGTAGTATGATTGTGATGGGAACTTTTCTTTATGTGACTAGCTATTCATTTATTTGTGAGACAAAAATTGTGAATGGCATATTTTGAAGAACTTATTCTGCAAAATATTTTGATGAAGTTGCAAATTCCCATGGTATTACCGCGGGATAAAAAATCCATGCTTATATTATTTAAGTGAAGGTACTGTTTATGTTGATGAAGGTTGGACCTGGATCTGTTTTGCGCGGCCCCTTACAGAACGCAACAATTGATGCTGTGTAAGTCTTGGTTTTCATCATATCCTCCTCTGAAAAAGTCCTATTTAAATCTAAATTTCATACTTTTATGTTTGACAGTACTCCAATACTTAATTGTGATCTCCAAGATTGCCCCATTGAATTGCTTCATCCACCTGAAGATTGCAACGTTAACGCATCTCTGTCTTTTACTCTCCAGGTGTTAACCCAATATGATTTGTGCAGTTACGGAGTTTGGAAAATCTTCTCTTTTCTTTTCCTGTTTCCAACTAGTGTTAATTTTCTTTTCCAGATCTGTCGGGTTGAAGATATTAGTGTTGAAGGTCACATCAAAGGATCTATTGTACACTTTCATCGAGCAAGAACTATAACCGTCCAATCTTCTGGAGTGATTAGTGCTTCCAGCATGGGTATGCTTTTGTTGGTTCCTGTATGATGGTCCTTAATAAGTGAATGGTTCTGTGATTTTTTACTGCCTATCCCTCTCTGTTTTTTTCATGCATATGTGTGCCTTGTGCGTGCATACATAGCCATCATTGTTGTAAATTGTTTACTGAACTTTTGTCTGCTTATGTCTTGATTAGTGTAGAATATCATTGCTTTCCTTGCTGTTGAATTTTACTAGTAAATGGACTTGCATTTGCGGTTACTCAGGCTGCACAGGTGGAGTGGGTAGAGGTAAATGGCTTAGCAGTGGTATCGGAAGTGGTGGTGGCCATGGTGGTGAAGGTGGTCTTGGGTGTTACCATGATGACTGCATTGAAGGTGGTATTACTTATGGAAATGCTGATTTGCCATGTGAACTTGGCAGTGGAAGTGGAAATGACAGTTCAGCTGGTTCTACTGCTGGCGGTGGTATTATAGGTAAGCTGGCTTGGGCAGTTGAATTGTTTTTGCCTTTTTATCATATGATTACGAGTATCAGCTTTGGATAGTGACATCTATTTAGAGTATAGTGATTATTCTGGGATGCAAGAATTTGGTTGCTATTAGAGTTAAATGACTCGTGGCATTTATCTTTCATTCCTAATCTTGCTTCTGAAATATATATGCCGATGGTACTTTTTTTTAGAACTGTTATGATGTACTAGTACTTTTCAGAGTTGATACCTGCAATCTGTGTTTCACATGGCACATATTCTCATTTGTTCTGTCCACTTGAGCAGTAATGGGTTCATTGGAGCATCCGCTGTCTAGTTTGTCTGTTGCGGGCTTAGTTCATGCTGATGGACAAAGTTCTGGAGGAACAGCCAGAGGGATAAAACTTCCTGCTTCCAATGTTTCAATGCTTGGACCTGGTGGTGGTTCTGGTGGAACTGTACTTATGTTTTTGCGTACATTGGATCTAGGCGAGGATGCTGCTCTCTCGAGTGCTGGGGGACATGGTAATCCCAATGGAGGTGGTGGAGGAGGTGGTGGAAGGATTCATTTTCATTGGTCAGACATTCCCACTGGAGATCTCTACCAGCCCATTGCTAGTGTGAAAGGAAACATTCATGCTAGGTTTGTACATAATGCAATTTATTTGAATTCTCTATAATCATAGCAGACCTGATAGATTGTTTAGTTTTCTTGTCGCCAACTGAAAGGACACGTTTATTTGTTTATGATAAAACATTGGCCTCTCTGTTAAACCAAATATTCATGAAAAAGAAAAAATGAAGAATTCACTTGAAGGTCACCTGCAGTTGATGTTCTAGCTTGTCCCAGCAATGTGATTGATGAATTTCATTATGTTGTAGGGGAGGATTGGGTGGAGATGATGATGGCGCTGGAGAGAACGGAACTGTGACTGGAAAAGCTTGTCCAAAAGGGCTTTATGGAATATTTTGTGAGGTAGCTATTTAGTTATATGAAATAAGTATTTTAAAGGTATTTTTGTTTCTTTTCCTTATTTTACTTGTTAGTTCCAGAGCATGCTGTTTGGCATAACTTTAAAACGTGATTTGAAACTATAGCTGGACTCTCTCTTTCTTTTTCGAACTAAGTTCAAACCTTTCATTTCATCTAAATGAACTAAGCTCATACTCGTGAGTTATGTTATGCAGTTAGTATGCTTAGTAAGGTTTGCAATAAACATTTATGGATGTATATGTGTACATATATATATATATATATGTATACACTGGCACACACTCGAACCTTCAGCATAAATGAATTTTGTTTAGTGTTTTTTTAGGGTAAGTTGTCTAGGATTTCAATTAAATTCCCTTTTGATATTTTTTCCTTTTCTATCTTTACTGGAGATTATGTTCCTGCAATGAGGTCGACATAAGAGTTTGGTCTTGCTTCCCTTTACCTTGCTCACGTGCCGTATTACCATCCTTTACACTATCAAATAGTCTTCCCCTTACATATTTGGTGGCAATGTTAAATTTCTCTAATTTACTGCTGAAAGGTTTAAGTTTATTTTTATCCCTCAGGAATGTCCAACTGGAACTTACAAGAGCGTTACTGGGTCTGATAAAGCTCTTTGTCATCCTTGTCCTGCTCAGGAGCTTCCAAATCGTGCAGTTTTTGTTGTTGTTCGAGGTACCTTAGAATTGTCATTCAAGTACAATTTATAAGATCTATGTATTTTGTTGAAATAAGTATTGCTGTTCTAATTGACCGCATTTCGCCCTTCACCTGTTAATTACATTCCTTTTTCCAGAAGGGAATGTTTATTCCTGTTATGTTCCAAATAACTACGTTTGGAGTTTGCCTTAAATTTGCTTGAGCTAAGTGTAATTTTTGTAAATTATTTATTAGCTTGTCTCTTGTCCTTGTGACAGGTGGTGTTGCTGAAACACCTTGCCCTTACAGATGCATTTCTGAGAGATATCACATGCCCCACTGTTACACAGCGCTGGAAGAGTTGATTCACACA